AAAAAAAAAAAAAAAAAAAAGAAACTACAACCATACCCTAAATGAGAGACTTCTATTCAAAGAAAACATATTGAGCACAATACTTGGAGTAATGCCTGGTCATAGTAAGGTTTCTAAATAAATACAAGCACTAACTTCTTTATCTCACAACAAACTTTAGAAGTAAACCCTCATTTTAATGACAAAGGAACTGAGGCTTAGAGAGTTTCACACAATTTGAGGATTCTACTAGAACAAACTGCATAGATCCTTATATAAAACATACAGTTATGGTCCTAGGGAAATACACACACACACACATATACATACATACACACGTTAAACCAAGAAAGGATGAGGAAATACATGCTTGTGTTAATATATGCTAATTTCTTAACTTTAATGCTTCTGCACTTTCCTCAAATTATAAACTGCAGACTAATGATATCACTTAGGACTAAGGACATTTACTCAACACAATCTAAAAGTTATAGTCATTTGCTCCAATTTCTTCTCACTTCTTAGGACACAGCATAAAAAGAATGAAAAGAATGGAGTGAGATTCTTACCAGACATTCTTAAATAAACCCCAGGCAACATGAATTAATAATAAAAAGTCTCCCAAACTCAGAAATTCTGATGCAAAACCAGAATTAGGAACCATCTGACTCAATTATCTTCTTGAGGTCCCATTTGACACAGAGGAAATCCTACAATTCTAAAGAGAAAATTGTTTCTATCTGATGGCACTGTTTGCTCAGTGTGGATATGTCTTTTCTTCAGATATGAGAGACCTGAAAGTGTCTATACAAATAAAAGAAGTGGACAGAGATTTAATATGAGGGTGAAATTGTTTAAGGGGGAAAGAGGAGATGAGAATAAGGGACAAAGTAGAACTTCCACTGAATTCATGCTGGTGGGTTTGAATCTGCTCCAACATGACATGCACATATGCATAAAATGAGATTTGTACAACACCACAAAGGAAGAGGTAGATGGAGCTATATAGAAGCAAAGTTTTATATAGCATTGAAATTAAGATGGAATTAACATGAACTAGATTGTTATATGTTAGGATGTTAATTGCAATCCCTGAGGCAATCACTAAGGAACAAACGAAAAAAATAGTAAAAAGAAATGACAAGGGAATTAAAATAGTACACTCAAAAATATTTAACATACGAAAAAGCAATAATGGAAGAATAGAGGAACAAAAAAGACAAGACAGATAGAAAACAAATAACAAAATGACACAGGACAATCCTACCTTATCCATACTACATAAATGGATTAAACATTAAAACCAAAAACAGGGGTGACGGGGTGGTTCAGTCAGTGAAATGTCTGACTTCAGCTCAGGTCATGATTTCACGGTTCATGGGTTCGAGCCCCATGTCGGGCCGTGTGCTGACAGCTAGCCCATAGCCTGGAGCCTGTTTCAGATTCTGTGTCTCCCTCTCTCTGTGACCCTCCCCTGTTCACGCTCTCTCTCTCTCAGAAATAAATAAAACATTAAAAAAACCCAACCAAAATGTTCATGCATAGAAGAGTGGTTAAATACACTACAGTACATCACACAATAAACAACAAGGCAGCTGTGAAAGTAAATTAGAAAGGTCTCTGTGAGCTGATATGCAGTGTTTTCCAGGACATTCTGTAAGTAGAAAAAGCAAAATGCCAAAGAGTATCTACGCTATGCTACACTTATGTAAGAAAGAAGGAGATAAAATAAAATACACCTGCATCTGCTCATCTGTGCCAAGGGAATATAGAAAGGGTAAACTAGAAACCAAAAAAAAGATTGGTCCCTGTAGGGAGTAGGTGGGGAAATGATGGAAAGAAAAGGGGAATGGGAACAAGACAGGAATGGGGGGAGGGACAGCACTTCTCTGAGCATATCTTTTTTTGTACACTTCTCTTAAAACCAGTTATGGTTCACATATACAAAAATAAACAATTAAAACCAACTCACATATACATATACAAAAATATACACAATATATACATATACATATATAAAAATAAACAATTAAAACCAACTCAAAGTGGAATACAAACACTAACCATTGCACTGTGGAAATATTGATTAATATTTCTGTATATTTCCCACACTAATGGGGAGAGGGAAGAAAACAACCAATCTAAGTAACTTTGTGGACCTGTATCTTGACCAGCTACTGTAAGGCTAAAGACAATGAGAATTCTATGTACATGCTGCTTTCCAGTTGGTAAATGGTGAGGGAGAAGATGCCAGATTTCGTGGGGGACAGAACAGAGTTGAGATGAGGATTACATTTTAAGAGTAGATGTGCTGTAGGCAATTGGGAGTGACTGGAGCTCCAAAGAATGTCAGGGAGAGACATCCACCCTCATCTAATAGATCAGTCTGTACTTCTGCCTTAAGAAATGACTCGTCCAGGGGCGCCTGGGTGGCTTAGTCGGTTAAGCGTCCGACTTTCGCTTGGGTCATGGTCTCGCGGTTCGTGGGTTCGAGCCCCGCGTCGGGCTCTGTGCTGACTGCCAGCTCAGAGCCTGGAGCCTGTTTCGGTCTGTGACTCCCTCTCTCTCTGACTGTCCCCTGCTCGTGCTGTCTCTCTCTCTCTCTCCTAGAAATAAATAAAAAAACATTAAAAAAAAAAAAAAAAAAAGAAATGACTCGTCCAGAGGCTCCATTCAAGAGAAATGGAACTCTAATCCAAACAGCAGGGAGCACCTGGGTGGCTCAGTCGGTTAAGCATCTGACCTCAGCTCAGGTCATGATCTCATAGTTTGTGGGTTCAAGCCCCATGTCGGGCTCTGTGCTGACAGCTAGCCCAGGGCCTGGAGCCTGCTTCAGATTCTGTGTCTCCCTCTCTCTCTGACCTTCTTCTGTTCACGCTGTGTGTGTCTCTCTCTCAGAAAAAAAATAAAACATTAAAAAAAAAACAAACAGCAGTAGAGGACAACTCACTTCTTCTTTTGCCTGGAGATGTTTTGTTTTACTCAGCAATTTGTAGAGTCATATTTATTAGCCAGTCAGTAAGAGTCATTTATTTATTTTAGCTGCCAACAGCTGTAACTGTTTAGACTACAGTCTACAGTTCATTCTTGGTCTTTTATAACATTTATTTACTTAAATGTCCTAGCCTTTCCTTTATGGCCTCTAGACCATATCTTGCTTGAGAAAGTCTCCTCACCATGAAGGATATAAAAATATTTTCCTAAATTTCATTC